AACCAGAAGTTCTTCAGAGTGGATGGGATTCTGCTTGGATTAAGGAAGAGCAGACTTGTTCTCCCCAAAGAATTTCACACACAATTCAGACAGATGCCAAATGCACAGAGAATTCTCTGAGTCTCTCTTAGGAACCCTAGAGAGGAATCCAGACTAGGGTGGATTCAGGTTTTCAGGTTATCTGGAGCTCATCGTTTCCCTGGTGAGAACACAATGAGGGTGATTCTCAAGCCCAGCATCTTATTAGCATCACCAGGGGAGAATTCCTAAATTCTGGGTACCAAGCCCCACTCCCAACTAATTTCATCACAGTTTCTGCTAGGTGGGACCAAGTTTTCAATATTCCCTGGTAATTCTAACATGAGCTCCACCTGACCAGATCTCTGAGGTCCCTCCCAGCACCTGGGGCCTACACCCACACATTCAGAGTAGACACTTAGCATAGGCTAAATGAATAAATGAGTGAAGATTGTGACTCAGCTGGTTTTTGCTGTTCCTTATTTATAATTAATAAGTAAAGAAGAAAAGAAAAGGCATAGCATGGCCCAAAAGGGATTCTTACAAAGATGGAGAAGTTCTATAATCTATGCTGTTCATTATAGTAGCCGTGAGACAAATGTGGTCACTGAGGACTTACAGTGTGATTGAGAAACTAGATTTTAAATTTTATTCAAGGCCAAATTTCAGTTGAAATAACTACATATGACTTTTGGCTACTTTGCTGGATAATGTACATATGGAGTATCTGCCTTTCATAAACACAGCTATAGGGGCTGGGGATTTAGCTCAGCGGCAAAGCGCCTGCCTGGTAAGCGCAAGGTCGTGAGATCGGTTCCCGGTACCGGAGAAAAACCAAAAAAACAAACAAACAAACAAACAAACAAACAAATAAACACGGCTATACCTGTGCACCACCATGCCCCTCTTTTACTAACAGTATCCCATTACCTGAAGGGGAACCCTTTGTCTCCCCTACCTGCAGCCATAGCCAAGTAGTTAGTGAAGTTGCCTCAGCCATGGAAGGATGGGCCAAGTCAACCAAGTCAATCAGCTAAGTCAACCAGACTCTCTCATCTGGGAACGGGACTCTGGCTTCAATGTCACAAGTACAGAAAATAAGTCAGAGCAGATTCCTATGAGTGTCAATGCCCTGAAACTGTTTATTCATTTCTAGAAAACTGGTCCAGAGAATGATGACAATAGTGATGTGTGATGAGAGCTAGGCTTGATCATCATCATCTTTTGTCATTATCAAAAGCAATGGTGTCCAGCAACTCTGACGGGCCACTCCTGGACTAGTGACATAATTTGCCTAACTTCTTTTGTGCATCATTTCTTCATCTATAACATGGAAATCATGCTCATCCTAACTTCTTCCAGAGTTTTCATGAAGACAGCAAAAAAGATAATGGTCGTAGAAGCTTTGAACCAAACAAGGAAATCCCCAAATGTCTGTGACACATGCTGTTCCCAGGATATAAGCATGGAGGAGCCAAGGAAGCCAAAATGAAGGACCCAGGAACTTGCCCCAGCTCACCTGTTGCCTATGCAATATGAGGCAAGTCACTTGTCCTCCCTGAGCCTTTGGCTGAGACTGAGATATGCACATCCCTTTACAGTTTCACCGTTTTCGAATTTATTGGCAGGTCCCCTTGCCTGATACACATCTCCTCCCCTTGTATGCACATCTGCCAGAAAATTCTTCAGCCTCCACACTATCCTCTGCCCCACTCATTTCTTCTTTTCCCAAAGCCCCACCGCATAGGGAAGTTGCCTTGGGTAGGCATGCTCCTAGTTTTCAGTATAAACTGTGAGGCAAAGGACTTGATGGGAATCATATCTAACCATCTCTTCCATTAGTTGACCAAACGCCCTACTAGAGCAATGACCATGTTTCTTGTTCACTACTGTGTCCTCAGTGCCCAGCACAGAGTCAGACACATAGAAGGTGCTCCATAAGAGCTTCCTGTTTCAATATTTGAGTGAATGCCCCAAATCTATCTATTTATTTCTTCCATTTTAGGAAATCCACAGAATTAGTTATATAATACTGCAAAATAAATTAGCCCCCACAGTTTGCCTGCTTAAAGTATAATTACTTATTTCAATTTCTGTAAGAGAAATTTAGGCAGAGTACAGTGAGGTTGCCTGGGACCTTGGTTACCAGGTCTGGGAGCTGGTCAAGGTCTTTGACCTTGGTCAAAGGCTGGGAGCCGGAATGTTGTAGTTCGGGGTTTTGTAAGAGGAATGACATAGGACACATAATTTATATGACTATTTTATAACAGTCACCCAAAGAGTCATATACAAAGAGTGTAAGAAATTTGTCCACACACTAAGACCAAAGAATCCAGCTGAAGGCCTACAGCCCATCACAATGCCCCCTACAAGTCCAACTGGAGGCCAAGGACCCATGACAATGTCCTATGCAGGCCTCATGGATTTGCACTGGGAAAGCCCAAGGGTCAATGATGGAAGCTAGAAAGTCTGTGCCAGTGGGATAAAGGCTATGTGCTAGCAGGCTGAGGGATCTGTACTGCAGCCTCAAAATGACACTCAGAGTAAGAACCAGAGCTCCCCTGAAAAGTACCACAGCCATCCTCAGCAATAGTGAGGTCCCGAGCTCATCCAAAGATGAGAACAGCTGAGTTCCCATGAAGAAAGCCAACATGACAAGCTTCTCCAGGAGACTGAGAAGTGCATCATCTTTCCCTCCAGAGTCAGGAAGCAATGCTCAAAGTGAGGACCAGAGCTCCCCCAAAGTGAACCGTAGCTATTCTCAGCAACAGTAAGGTCCCAAGCGCCTTTGACAATAAGCACAGCCAAGTTCATCAGGAAAATAGGTATAACAAGCTCCTCCAAGAAAACCAACAGCTCCCTACAGCTTCTCTTCTTCTTTCCCAGTTCTGCCTCTCATGCTGCAGGCAACAGTCCTCAGGCGGCCCTCCCACATGCAGCATCACACTGTTTCAGATCAGCTGGGTGTTACAAGTTGACCACTAGTTATCATACCACCCCATGGAATCATCAGAAGTCTCAGTTCACTGCCTAGCTGGTGACTGATTCTGGCTGTTGACTGAGAGCCTAGTAGGAGATATCAGCCAGAATACCCTCCTATGGCTTCTCCATGTGGAGGTTCTAGTTCGAGACAGGTAGTGCATAATATTGGGTCCCTGGCTAGGGTAGCACCCCATGGTACAGGACAGAACAAGCACAGTATGCCACCAGCCAGAAAGCACAGAGTAAAAGGGAGCCCCAGGTCCCCAAATCCCCTACAGTCCCCCAATCTCCTATGAGGGAATGTCCCCTATGACCTAAGGACCTTCAATTGTTTCCCAATAATACCACCCTGGAGAGCAAGACTTCCACACTGGGCCCCTCAGAGACACTCAACATCCAATCTATTACACCCCGGAATCTGCATTTTTCTCCTGGAGACTACTACAGTAACTATTAGCAGGGGGAGGGAAAGGTCTTAAAGTACATAGTCGACCCTGGATGTTTAGTATAGTTCTTTGCTGCGCTCTATGTTCCAAGAGTTACAGCTCCAGGAAATGGGGGAGGGGAGGGTTGTGCAGAGCCCCTGAAGCCCAGGAATCACACAAAACAGCCAGCTGTACTTTCACCTTTTTCTAGGACTCAAGTCACCCCATCATAGCTTCCCACTCCCAGACCCTGGGGAGCAGCACCCCTCCCTTCAAGCCCCGTCTGTGGGGACCTAGTGTCCAGAGTCCAGTTTAGGTGGAGGACTAGGAACCAATTCCCTGACATCTCCTACCAATGAAGGGAAGCGGATAAAGTTGGATGACTTTTAACCCTCTTGCTTCCAGAAGTAACTTCCAACCCCCGATACCCTCCCTCCAGGAACGAGAGCTAGGAGCAGCTCTTGAGTTCATCCAGTGTCATCACTTCAGCTGAGAGATGGAGAAACTGAGGTCTATGGAGGGTGTGGAACTCCTAGAGCACAACAGGCCCTTAACCCTGCCTAGAACTCCGGTCTTCCCAGCCAGTGCTCTGGCTTCTTCTACACCTGGCTTCTTCTACACGGGGAGGGCCGGCGCGCTGTCCCCACTTCAGGAAACTCCTTCCGCGCCTTGAATCTCCCTGGAGTTGCGCTCTGTTTGGCCCACTGTAAACCTCCTCCGCAGCTTCGCGTCAACTTCACTGCGCCCTGAGAGAGGTGAGAACAGTGCGGTGCCCACTGCATCCCTGGGCTAACTTGGGGCGCAGGGACAACTGCTGGAGGACCGGACGGTAAGCCGCTGGCCCTTTAAGGGGGGGACGGAGCGCATGCGCGGCGCGGCCAGTGTCGAGTCGGGTGGGCGGTGGCGGCGGGCAGGGGACCCGGCGGGCAGCAGCGGGGCTCTCGGGTGGCGCGGGTGCAGGGCGGCCCTAGCTTCGCC